GACATGTTTGTGTCCACAGTGTTAGAATTTCTTGAATAACTATAAATTCACAAGCTAAATAAGTTTTATTTATTGCCGTTTGCCAAGTAATCCCAATTTTGCTTGATGGCCAGCCACTGGCATCACAGGTTTTTCTTCAATGTTTTCATTGCTGTGTGTCTGTGTGGGAGCATGTGCACATGAGTGGAGGCCAGAAGAGGGTGTTGGGATTCCCAGGAGCTGGAGTTGTAGCTGTTGGTGAACTTTCTGACTTGGGTGCTAGGAACTAAAATAAGCCCTTTGCGAGAGCATCAAGCTCTCTTAACCACGGAACCATCTCTCCAGCCACTTTGTTTCAGATCTTAATTACAGACACTAACGGGCCACACGTTACCCCTCTCACAATGCTTCTATATGTTCACGTTTCAAAATAGCAAAGAAAGTGTTGCAGAGGCTGCAGAGCCCGGGAGAGGCTGTAGATAGAGGGCTGATACGAACACCAGAAAGAATGTAGGGAACCACATAAGAAGTCTTCGGACTCAACGTCAGTTGTAGGTTTGGGCGGCAGGCCTTTTTCAGGGTCACTTTGGAAGTTCACCGAATTCAGAGGCAAGAGAATCTACTTGAGCCTACAGCCTGGGGATAGAATCAAGGGTCCTTTGCCATGATAGTATTCCTGGACCAGGCTCATGCTGAGTGACTGGTCAGTATGCCTGCTGCATTTCAGCCTTGGGTTGTCTCTTTGGAGTCCCAGGTAAGGGGTTTCCATCTGGTGTGGCTGATAAGCTGGAGTCTGTTTGAGCTGGGATCTGATAGTTGCAGTTGTCATTTATCAGTTTGTTTCTCCTGGTGTGCTGACAGATGGTGGGGATTTGCTGGTGTCAATAAGATGTAGAGTCACTCCTGCTGTTTACACACAGAGTGGAATAACTTGGGCTAAGGATGTTGCTTTATATAGTGGAGTAGTAACTCAAGTCTAGGCGAAGTTGCCATTCTGGACAATATAGTGACCCAGAGCAGGTCCAGCTGTATTCAGCAGCTCCCCAGGTCCGTCCCCCAGGAAGCCCTCCTTGGTTGCCCCACGTAACTCCTTCCTTCTGATCTCTGGCCCTCTGATGACCCTCCTATGCTAGTGGGTGGAGTCTGACTACTTCCTCTCTTCCTAGGGACCCCAACAAGCAACCTGGAGGGGAGCTGATGCTTGGCGGCATTGACTCCAAGTACTACGAGGGGGAGCTGTCCTACCTGAATGTCACCCGCATGGCCTACTGGCAGGTGCACATGGACCAGTGAGTCATGGGTGTGGCTGGGGGTGGGGTGGGAGCGTTATGGAGGTGTGGCATGTGGGAAGCCCGGGGCCCTACCAGCCATTTGCGACTACTTTGCCAATTGAGTCTTTTCATTTTGCAACCCTGGACCGTTCAGGGTCCTGCATGAGTTGGTTGGTCCTGACGAAAAAGAAGTATGTGTCTCCAGGACCATATCTAGACAAGCTCTGCCCCAGACTCACCTGTGACAGGGTGAGGTCATGGAGACCCTCTTACCCCATAGGTTGGATGTGGCCAATGGCCTGACCCTGTGCAAGGGAGGCTGCGAGGCTATCGTGGACACAGGGACGTCTCTTCTGGTGGGGCCTGTGGAAGAAGTGAAGGAGCTTCAGAAAGCCATTGGAGCGGTACCTCTTATCCAGGGCGAGGTAAGCCACAGGCTGGGGGGCTGGCCAGCAGGCAGAGGGGGTTCCGGAGGCCGTACCCTCAATGCCACGTTCTCTTTGTCTCTCTCAGTACATGATCCCTTGTGAGAAGGTGTCCAGCCTGCCCTCGGTCACCCTGAAGCTAGGAGGCAAGAACTATGAACTATCCCCAGAAAAGTATATACTCAAGGTGAGTGGGTGCGGGCAGTGGCAGTGTGACCCTGGGACACCTTGGGTGAGATGGGAACCTTGTGATCATGTGACCGCTCTGGCCTTGCAGGTGTCGCAGGGTGGAAAGACGATCTGCCTGAGTGGCTTCATGGGGATGGACATACCCCCTCCCAGCGGGCCGCTCTGGATCCTGGGCGATGTCTTCATTGGCACCTACTACACTGTGTTTGACAGAGATAACAATCGGGTCGGCTTCGCCAAGGCTGCCACACTCTAGCTTGCCCCTCGCCCACCAGCAGGGAAACGGATCAGAGTCCAGTAGAGGAAGCCAGCCAGCCTCACCCTTCCACCTGCCCCACTCACACACATTCACACTCGCCTGGCATTGCTGGGCCCTTGGGAGGCCTGGCTGGAGCTGGTCCAGCTGTTCTGTTCTGTGGTTCTGTCCCTGGGTTCAGATTGCTGCCCTCTGCCTGTCTGAAGGAGGAGGCCAAGGACCACCCAGTACAAGGGCTGCCTTGAAAGGCCCCTACTGGTTTGGTAGTTTTCCTTGTCCTGCTGCCCTTTGCTGCGGGGGCAGCATTCCAAAGCAGGCCAATAGTTCTTGGGATCCCTCCTAGAAACCTTACCTAGGTCCCTCACCCGGCCTGGGGATGGCACCAGGCTCCACTGCCCCACTGTTTGTATCCTGGCCTGATAGAGGCCTGAAGATGAACCGGAAGGAAAGCCATGAACCTGGGATGTCACCTGGGGCCTGACCTCACCCACCCGGGAAAGCAGGCCTTAGCCTGGGGCAGAGGCAGGATGGCTGACTGGTTTTGGCTGGCCTCTGCCACCTTCGTCCTGGGCCATGTGGCTGGGAGCCAAAGCTGGTATACAAATACAGTTGTTTTGGACCTCCTTCTCTCTGGACTGCTTCTGAATTGGGATCTGGGGATGTGCTTCTGAGGACTCATTTGATCATTCAGGGTCAAGCTGGCTGGGCTGGGGCGGGGCTGGAGCCCAGGTTTGGCTTTCAGGGTCAGGCAAGCCCACAGAGAGGACTCTCAAGGCTCTGGCTTGCTGTCTGGCCTTGTGGGCAAGATGAGTCTGGGCTGGAACTGGCAGTTTCTGGGACCTCAGGCAGTAGTCAGCAGCCGGATGTGGCCTTGGCCGGAGACTGGTGCAGGCCTAGAATTCTGGGGTAGGGCCTGTGTTGAATCATTTTTCAGAGGTGGCCAGGCCAACACCTGCTACACTTCGCCAGGAAACCACCCTGTCCATCCCCAGAGGAAATGGAGCGAGCCCCATTGGATATCTAGGCCTCCATACATTCCCTTCTCAGCAGTCCTTCAGCTGCTGCGGGGTGCTGTGGGCAGCCTCCTGTCTGGGCCTCTGCTTTTCCAGTCAAGCTAGTGCTGAGTCTGCGTGCCTGGGGTCTTCAGGTTCATAGATCAGAACTCCGTGGTCATGAGCCGCAGTCACTGTACAAGCATTGGTGTGAGGGGTGGGTCTCAGGAGAAAAGGGGTGAGCACAGGTTGAAATACAACGGTGGAGGCAGCCAGCAGGGTTTCAGATAGAGTAGGAATTCCCGAGTCCTTTCTGGTAGGGCGGGGATTCCTTTTGGAACCAGTAAGTCTGGTCTTGGATCCCCTTCCCCACACCAGCAGGTGCAGGATACAGGTGGTATTGTCCCCCCTTTGGGGTTTTCCTGGCACCCTACACCTGCTGGTCAGTGGCTGCCATTGTCTCAGTAGGAGGAGTTTGGGGGACTATGTCTCGGAGCTGAGCAGTTTACCAAAGGTTGCCAGAAGGCCAGTAAACATGTGCCCAGTGTTCTCTGAAATCCGAGCAGGAGTCCTGCAGGGCTTGGCAGGGCTTCCGGAGACTAATGTTATCAAGGGCTTGCGCACCAAAGCTGAAGGCGGCTCCTCCCTCCCCTGCGGGCCTAAGGCTGAGCTGCACTGCCAGGCCTGCATGCTGCCACTGCTGCTGCTGCTGCTGCTGCTGCTGCTGCTGCTGCTGCGGCCACCACCACCACCACCCAGGGATGCCCTGGAATCTAGTTCAAATCCAGTCTCTTCTAGCTGAATGACGCCCTCACATCAGCCTCCAGTCCCTGGGAAGAAGCAGGACACTTGCTGCAGGCAGGGGCAGGGAGGCTGCCTGTAAAACCTTGTTCCCTCTCTCTCACGGTGAGTGTTTCTTCCCTCAAACCCCTGATCTGGGGGACAGCGAGGAGTGACCATACCCAAGGCTAGCCCTTTCCTCACCAACTGAGAGTTGAGACACTGACTCCTGAGCCCTGAGGCTGACTTCTGGGAAGAAGGCCCCAATTTAGCCCTCACCTTGCCAGTGACCTTGAGCAGACCCTGCCCTGAGAGCCAAAGGACCCTACTGCTTCCTGAATTCTGAGTCTCACAGGCCAGATGTGCCAAGGGCAGCACCAGACCCAGATAGTAAGGCAAGGAGAAAGTCAAGGGCAAAAATGGGTGGGAATTAGTGGCATGGTACACAGCCACATCCAGGCTGGGAAGAACCTTCCTCAATTCAGACCTCAGCAAGTCTGGTTGCCAGGCCCTTGGGATCCAAAGGAGTGGTGGAGTTGGGTGAGGGAGAGTTGGCTTTCTGCCACAGCCTGTTTGCCCCCAGGCTCATTGGACCAACAAGGCTAGGCTCCATTAGGGAGTGTCCAGAAGAAAGCCAAGAATACGAGGGAGGGGTCCCTGCTTGCTTGGAAATTCCACCCACTCGAAGACTTTTTTTTTTGTTTGTTTGTTTGGTAGGTTGGTTGGTGCTTTTTTTTTTTTTTTAATCTACACGTAAGATCCTTCAAACTGAAAATTCCTGACATGCAGAACTGAGCAGTGCCAGGGGTCAGCAGGGGTCGGAGGTGGGGTTTGGGCTGGGAAGGGAGGATCTTGGCGTGGGGCAGGGCTTATCCAGGAGACAGGGCTTTGGAGAAGGACTCAGACTTCAGACAGCCCAGGTTCCAGGAGACCAGACAGACTCAGGGCTCAGGCAGCCCTGGGTCACTCTGGAAAGGGTCCCAGAGAAGAGCTAGGGAGAAGGGGGTTGGGGGTAGTCCAGAGAAGAGGGCAGAAAACAGGGCTCTTGTGCAGAGTAGGGTGAAGTGGACCTACTGAGAACCCCCCCCCCCCCGTGGTGAGGTAGGGGTTCTGAGGGAGGGAGGACTGTTGGGGAAGGTCTTCCAAGGTGAAGGGAGCCCATTGGGACTTATCTGGAGCTGAGGATTTAATTGGGGACAAGTGTCCAAGAGGGATTGAGAATGAGGGAAGAGAGATGGAATAGAATCATAGAAGACAATATTGCTTAGGGCAAGTAATGTTTAGGGACAGAGCAATGTCAGGGCACTGGGGCCCAGGATGGGTTGGAGGGGCTATGAGTAGGTATATAGGCTGAGCTCCAAGGAGATCAGTGTAGGGGTCTCTAAGAGGGACCAGGGTTCAGGGCTTTGGAGTAGCACACCTGACCCTGAGGGCGGAGGGGAGCTTGCCGTGCAGGGATGGGCCAGCCTGTTACCGGTCAGATTCTTCAAGCCGGATTTATGATGAACAGGATTAGCATGAATGAACCAGGCTTTGGTGGGGTCAGACTTGGGAGACAGGACCTCCAATCCAACAGGACTGGAATTGAGTCGGGAGGTATGGGGGGGGCATTCTGAAGATTCTTGGTGAAGGCCCTGGACTTGGTGGGCTCAGAAGGAAAACTCTAGACATTGACCTTGGGGGACTTGAGAGACAGGATTGAACAAAGATGAGTATTCCACTGGGGTTTGGTATGTTGCATCCCATTTGGGTAGGAACTGTGATGTGCAGTCAGGAGGCTTCAAGGGACCCAGAGACTCCAAAAGGAAGCCCGATTAGGGATGGGGACTGGACCAGCTCAGACAGCGGTTTAGCTATTAGTAAGGATGGAGTCCAGCTGTGCAGGATCAAGGAAGAGGTGGGTAGGAGCTTGGGAAGCCGATATCAGGACAGGGCCTCATGGAGATGGTACAAGGTCTACCACGGAGACAAGGGTGGCAAGTGGCACTCAACAAGGCAAGAAGAAGAGGTTCGAGGTAAAGTGGTTCTGAAGGCACAGGTCTTGGAGCTAGTAAGGCTCAGTGGGAGAAATACAGGGAGAGGGAATCAGCCTTGGAAACAAGGTGGAGTACTCAGCAGACAGACTTGCCCGGGACCTGAGGACCCGCGAGAGAATATGAGGACAGGTGGGCTAGGGCAGCAGCTCCGTGGTCGGTGGATATGGGAGCCACGCAACTCTTGGTTTGCATGGGTCCCAGCTTCGTCCAGCTCTCCACTTCCCGGGGTCCTGGCTACCGTGCTCGAGGGCATTCTCCCTCCCTTGGGAGGAGGCGGAGGTGTCTGCGACGCTGTGAGTCAGGCTCTGGCTGCTGCCGCTGCCGGCCTGGCGCTGCGGAGCGCGCGCGGGCAGCGGGGGAGGCAGCGGCGCCAGCCCCGCTCGCTCCCCGCCCCCAAGCTTGGGCCGCTGGTACGCGATCAGCGGACAGACAGCGGCCCGGGACGGCGGAAGGACAAGCGCTCCTAGGCGCGGGGGTCTGGCCCAGTCGCTGCCGCGTCGCCAGTAGGTGAGCGGTCCTGGTGGCTGCAACCCGGGGTCAGACCAGCGGCCACCCAGCTCGGCTGTTGCCCCCTGCTATCTTCTCACGGGTGCCAGGTGCGCCCTGTGGCGCAGGGCTCCGGCGCCAAGCTGTCCCTTGGAAGTGTCCATTTCGCTGAGTGTCATTGTGGGTCTGTTGGTGGCACGGGTGCAGGGGGGAGGTGAGTGGCTCCGTGTGATGGTGTGCGCTCTTAGGGTACCCGGTGCCGCTTTCTGCCTGGTTTGGGGGCGGGGGGTCAGCGATGTGCGCGAGTTTGGAGCCCTGCACCTGCACCTGCGTGTATCTTCCGGAGATATGTCTGAGCCTGTGGGGCGATGTGTGTAGTGCTGCGCTTCTTGGTGGGCAGTTGTTTACCTGGCGCGTCTGGGCGCGCGGGTGTGCCGGGACTGGAAAGCTCGGCGGGTGATGATGTTTGTGGTGCGTCTCTGTGTGTATGTGCTTCAGCAAGAGCTGTTCGTTCTGCCAGTTGGTGACTAGAGCAGTGTCACTGTAGGTCTCAATGCCCTGAGTGCGTGGGGATGCAGGGGAGCTCTGCTTATTCGCAACAGGGTGTCAGTCAGGGTGCTGAGGGGGTGCTGTTGTGTGTGTCAGTGGATGCAGATGGCAACGCGATGAAAAGCCCCGATGTGCTTGCCAAGGCTACTGCGAATGGCTTTGGTATTGGCCGTGGCCGCCTGGGTGGGGGAGGCAGGTGGCAGGCAGGCTGGCAGCTGGCAAGCTCGCGGGGATTTCCATCTCCCGAAGGCCATTTATAGGGCTGCAGGGGAGATGCTGTAAGGCTCCAGGGTGGGTGCTACTGGGCACTCAGGACCCAGCTCCTCCTCACTCTGTCCCTCCCTCTAGGCCCAGGGCCCCAGCCAGTCCCCAGCCCTGCTGGGAGCCCCGGCCAGCACCACGGACGGCACCCAGGAAGCCCGAGTCCCCCTGGACGGGGCCTTCTGGATTCCCAGGCCACCAGCAGGTTCACCCAAGGGCTGTTTCACCTGTGTGTCCAAGCCTCCCGCCCTGCAGGCTGCAGCGGCCCCAGCCCCTGAGCCCTCGGCCTCGCCCCCCATGGCGCCCACTCTGTTCCCCATGGAATCTAAAAGCAGCAAGACTGATAGCGTTCGGGCATCAGGTGTCCCGCCGGCCTGCAAGCACTTAGCCGAGAAGAAGACCATGACGAACCCCACAACAGTCATCGAGGTCTACCCCGACACCACGGAGGTGAACGACTACTATCTGTGGTCCATCTTCAACTTCGTCTACCTCAACTTCTGCTGCTTGGGCTTCATTGCTCTGGCCTACTCCCTCAAAGTGAGCCTGGGGAGGGGAGCGGGGCAGGGTTAACCGGGCTAGCAGGGTGGCATGTCACTTAGTGGAGCCCAGGGCAGCGCATGCAAGCCCAGCCAGGAAATCTGTTATGGATTCCGAGAGGTAAGGTTGTTGGCCAGATCTGGACTTGCAGCACACAACCACTTCCATTTCCTAGACTGAGAAAGCTTGATTCAGCCTGGGGAGTGGGGTAGGGTTGTCTTCTCTGTCCAACTAACTTAGTTAAGTGCTCGGAGCGGGCATTCAGAGCTCAAGGTTCTCTCCTCTGTCAGGGGACATGGGAGTCAACACAGCCAGTAGCCATACCTAGGTAAATGAGATGGAAACTGCATGGAGCCAAGGGACTTGAAATCCTGTGGCTGTGGAAAGCAGAGGGGTGGTCTCAGGGCCCCTGCAGAACCTCTTATGTCAGCCGCTTTCTGGGGGATCTGTTGCCAGGCACTTATGCCTACCCAGGCAGGTGTGTGGTGGAAGGCCAAAAGCTGGCCCAGGGGAAAAGTTGGAAAACTCATCGTACCCCCACCACCACCTATTCTGTACCCACGGTGGCTACAACTCCCCTTTGCCCCGGGGGTGGCTGGGGACAGTGTAGCAAGGCTGTGGGACCTCTCAACCACTCCTACCCCTACCCCTTCCCATGGCAAATCGAGAGAAATGAACGCAGCTGTGGGGCTGAGGGGAGCTGTGATAAGTGGCTTCAGAGCGGCTCAGCCCTTGTGTCCCAGGTGAGGACTGAGCAACCTTGGCCCATTGGAGCCCCACCAGCAGGGTGCGGGGATAGTGCCTGGCTGCCCTCCTCCCATCCTGCATCTCCGGAAGGAAGGGCTTGGCTCACGATTACACAGATCATCACTTCCTGAGCCTAGGCTTGAATGGGCCAAGCCAAATGTGGTCCAGAGATTGCAGCTGCCCAGCAAGGAGGGGTGCCAGGGGCTGGGAGAGCAGCAGGGTGCTGCAGGGATTAAAAAGTGAGGACAAGACTGACCTAAGAGGGAGGCTGCCCAGGCAGCTCAGCCCACAGTTCCTCTGCAGACGTGAGCCCCACTTTGCCCTATATCACATGCCTGGCCACCAGGTTCTCCCTTCCTCTTCCTGACTTGTGTTCAGCATATCACACCATCTTCACGCCTTCATCTCCAGGTCTGGGTTCCTTACCTTGAGAGTTGTGTACATGAGTGGGCATGTCTGTGAGAGCACGAGATTGCATGTGTGTACACATGTGCTTACATATGTGTAATTTACCAAATGTGTGGAGAGTATGATTGGTTGCATGGGTGGGTATATTTATATGGGGGTGGGCGTGGACACTTGAGTATACGTCTGAGCGTTATTGTATGCATATAATCATGTGCATGCACATACGCATGTGTGTGAGCAAATGCAATTATCTGTGAGTGTGCATGAACATAGGTAGAAATGTATGTCCAATTGCATGCGAGGGGTGCCAACATAATCACATTTAGGTATATCGTGAGTGGACACATTTGAGTATAATATGTGTGCATGCAAATATTTGTGAGTCAAATATGCATGTTTACATACACGTGCACCACGGTTGTGTGTGTGTGTGTGTGTGTGTGTGTGTGGTGTGTGGTGTGGTGTGTGTGTGTGTGTGTATGTGCATGCTTGTGCTGAGAGGCAACATGAGAAGGGAACCTAGGGACTCGGGATGTCCTAAGATCAGATCAGCTCTGTTGTCTGGGGCAATGCCGGGCAGAGGGCACCATTGCCAGGTTGTGAGTGGAACATAGCCTCCCCTGGTGCCCTCTTTCCCTGCACTGTCTACAGCCTGAGGATTTGGGCACGGCTGCCTGGGCTCTGGTCCGGGAGCTGTCCCCTCCTCCCCTGGCTCAGGCTGTGTCCGGCTGGCTGGGCAGGGTAGCCCATCTGGTGTGGGTTGTAGGTAGGTCAGGCATTTCTGGATGGTTATGGGTTTGTATTGGGATGTGAGGTTGACACTTTGGGAGAGAGGGCTTAATCTCTCTCCCTTGTTTTGCTCCCTAAGATCTTCTCAGGAGACAGTGGTCAGGCCTCGGGGCTTCTTGGAGGGATGTGCAGAGTCAGCATAGACCAGGCTAACTCTGACCTGATGCCTGGAAATCAGTCCACCTGTGTATCTAGCTGCAGCCTCCTGACCAGCTGCACCTGCCACTTATGCAGCCCAACGCAAGCATGTCCAAGGACAGCAGGTGGGCCAGGGGTCAGGAGGACTTGGCTGCTTTTCCAGGCATCTTTCCTTGCTGATCCCATCCCCTCATCTGCTCACAATAGAAACAACACTGTTCAAGCCATCATGTGATCAGGTGGGGCTGGCTGGCTGGTGTGAGATGATGGCATTCTTGCCTGCCCTGTCTGTCCATATCCCATCAGGCCACCATCCACTCCTCCAACCACATGGGTCAGGTCAGCTCCATGCAGGCTGCTCTGTGTCTAGGGAAGAACAAGATCCAGTAGATCAAGTCTCCATGCAGACTCCATACACTGCCTCATAACCACACAGCCTCACTGTTACCTGCACAGTACCCAGGATCCAATTTTGGTATTCAAGTCCCTTCACAGTTCGTCATTACCCTTTTTCTGGGGGAAATACTGAGCTATGTGCACACACTGGCTCACAGGTATCCTCTCTTGTGTATGAAGCCTGTGTCTCTCCTGCAGAACTTCTAGGGCCTTCCTTCCCTGGTCACATTTGCTTGTCTCACCCTCAGGACCACCTTTCAGTACCCAAGGCATGGTGACCATTGTAGGGGGGGGGGCTAAGGATATTATTTGGCTGGACAGAGGGTGTCATCAAATGGGATAGATGTCTAGTGTCTTAGAAAAGGAAAACATCACACTGAGCTTGGGCCAAGTAGGGTTCAGGGTAAGGGCTTCTGGGAAGAGGCAGTATTTTCCATGGGCCTTGAAGGATGGGTGAGGAGAAAGTTTACCTAGAGAAAGGAGCAGACATCCTCTGTGAGGAGCAGAGGTGTGAAGGACAGGAGAGGGAATGCAGTGCAGCCAGCCTGTGGCAGATGCTTGATGTGAGCTGAGGAGGCCTGAGGACTTCCTGTGACAGGAAAGCCTGAAAGATTAGATTAGGAGGGTAGATTCTGGTTGGGTTTCTATGTATCTGTTCATCTCGTCCTTTCTGAATATCAGTGTTATCATTCCATCTATTCACTTACCCATCCATCCACCCATCCACCTACCCATCTACCCATCTACACCATACCTGTTCACTCATCTATTTATCCATCCATCTATTCATGTACCTGTCCATCCACTAGTTCAGCTGTCCATCCTTCCACTTATTCATCCAATATATCTAGCCATCCATCTATCCACACCACACCCATCCATTTATGCATTCATCTACTCATGTACCATCCATCTATCTACATCACACTCATTCACATCTAGCTATTCACTTACCTGTTTACCCAACCATCTGTCCATTCACTCACCTACCCGTTCACCCACTCACCCATCTACCCACCCACCCAGTCAGCATTTACCTGTCCATTCACCAATTTAACCCATCCACTCACCCTATCATTTAACCACCCCCTTCTATCCATCCACACACTCATCCACTCACCCACCTGTCAACCTGACCCACCCATCCACTCATCTACCATCCATCTATCCACACTACACCCATCTTCGTACACACTCATCTGCACATCTCTCTATCCATCTACCCACTCTACTATTCATCCACTCACTCCTCTACACATTCACAACCCATCCCCCACCTTTCTATCTATTTACCCATCCACTCATCCATGTGTGCAGTCACCTAGCTATCCACCTACTGTTAGATAGTAGAGTGACATTTCAGGCAACAACAGGTCATATACACAAGACTTCATCACCTACTAGTGTCATAGTTGATTTGTGTATATACTCTGTGGTGTTAACATATGATGAGGCCATCTGGAGTTTCTTAGATATCCCTCATTAAGTGATGCAAGGCTATGTCAATTCATTCTCCACTCTGTTCACCACATCCAGACAGCATCAGCCTTCCACTCACCTGTTGACACACAGTCATTTGTACTTCTGACTCTCTCCTCTGCTGCCCCATTCCATCCATCCTTACCAACCTTAATACTGGTCTGGTAAAGTGTTTCTCTAAAGTCATTTTCTCAGGACACTCCCACTTCCCTCACCAGCACGACCTTCCATCTACTCATGCTTTGCCATGTCCTCCTTTCTATCACACCAAGTAGCCATGCGTGCATTTTTCCTCATTAGCATTCTTCCCCTTTCAGTTCATCCATCCTTCTGTCCTTTTTTTCTTCTATTTTCTACCCATGCACCCATTTATCCACGTTAATTTTCTCTCCTCTTTTGTAGTCTCCCCTTCAGCTTCCCAGGCTGAACTCATCCATCCATCCATCCATCCATCCATCCATCCATCCATCCATCCATCCTCTCCTCATTCCAACCTTCCTACCCTCTGCTCCCTGCTCCTGGTGTAGAATTTTACTCTGGCATCCCTCTATCAACATTCAGATCTATCAGCTGCAAACCTCCGTCCTTCCTCCAGCTTTATGTCCACCCAAATATCTACTCTCCTGTTTCTTCTTTCCTCCTATCCCCCAACATCTCTGTCTGTCTCATCCAGTAATTTATCGGTCCCTGTGTGGCTGTGAGCGTGCTTGCACACTCTCACTGCCTGACTGCACACTCATTTCAGCCGTGTGCTCATTTGCCCTCCCTGTGCTCCCTCATGTTCTGTCCTCTCTTGTTCTTAGACACCGACACACCCTAGATGTATCAGATATGGTGCTGCATATATAAAACCCTAACATTCGGGAGTCAGAGGCAGGAGGATTTAGAATTCAAGGCCAGCCTCAGTTACATAGTCTTTACAAAAGAAAAGAAAAGAAAGGAAGGAAGGAAGAAAAGGGGAAAGAAAAAAGAAAAAAACCATCAGCATCAACACAAATCCTACTAAAGTTTCATCCAGTAATCTACCAGCTTATCTTTCTATTTTCCCTTTCCACATTCTGTCTTTCATCCATGTCCTGCCCCAGTTGTTCTTCCGTCCTTCCTGCTCCCATGGTCACCCTGCCACTGCACACAGACCAGCTGCCTCCTCTACCCTCTGGTCACCCCAGCACCTACCATGTTCTTTCTTCTGCCTGTCTCCTCCTCACCCTCTGCTGTCCATGAACTTGCCCTGTGTCCACATGTTTATCCATCTCCCTTCACTTCCGTGTCTGTGTCGGGTGTGTGTGTGTGTGTGTGTGTGTGTGTGTGTGTGTGTGTATTCATGTTCATGTATGGGATGTGTGTGTGTGTGTGCAATGAACAAGCAAGCAAAAAAAATTACACAATTTTGTGTGTGCATGAATACACACTTGTGTGTATTTGTGGAGCTTACTCTCTCCTTCCACCATGGGGATCCCAGCGATTGAACCCACATTGTTCAGCTTGATAGCAGGTACCTTTATCCACCGAGCCATCTCCTCAGACCCTCACTTTGTCTTCTGGGACAAGGTCTCTCACTGGGACCGGGGCTTCATCGGTTAAGTTAGACTGGCTAGCCATCAAACTCCAGAGATCTGCCTGTCTTGGCTTCCCCAGCGCTGAGTTATAAGCATGTGCTGCTGTGCCTGAAGTTTGAAAAATATGTTTTTAGATTTATTGATTTTATGTGCATGTGTATCTTGCCTGCTTGTATGTATGTGTACCACATACATGCCTGGTGCCCAAGGAGGTCAGAAGAGGCTGTCAGATGCCCTGGAACTGGAGTTACAGATGGTCGTGAACCACCCTTTAGGTGCTGGGAGCTGAACCTGGGTCCTCTGGAAGAGCAGCAAGTGTTCTGAGACATTCCTCCAGCCCCTCCCTGGCTTTTTGTTCTTGATGTTAAACACAGGTTCCTCAGATCAAAGGCAGGTCTTCTTGCTTGCTTGGCAAACAGTTGACATGAACTGAGCCGTCTCCCCAGCCCCCATCTTTCATCACCTTGAAGCTTATGTCTACCCTCCCTTTCTCCTCTTCTCTTGCCCACTCCTTTGATGTCACCATCGTGGCCACTAAACTGTCTAGCCCACCATGTGGTCACAGGTTCATGGGGATGCCCCAGCACTCGCCCACTGCCTACTTCCCATGCAGCAGATAACTGCCCAGTGTATGAGGGGTGACTAGCCATGGCACCCCTCACCATAGGAGCCTTCCCTCTAGCAGGAAACTCAGACCATCATAAAACTCACTGCCATCTGGGAAGACTGAGGAGAGTGGCTGGTTCTGCTATTTCATACAAGGTGGGCTCAGACAGAAGTCCATGTTGGTGTACTGAGTAAGCCCAAGGTGGTCCAGGCCATAGACATGTGTGTCTAAGAAAGTGTGTCACAGGATGAGGACTAGGCCTTGCAGAGAAGCCCAGGGACAAGGTTCCATAGCCTGTGTGGTTGAAACAGGACAGGGGACTAGACATGCCTGAGGCACAGCCTTGTTTTCCACAGTGAGGGTTTTGTCATCCACTGTGAGTGGGTTCATGTGATAAAATTTCCATGTGGGGACAGACTAAGGATGCAGAGAGAAAGAGAGGGCTGGGAGCCCAAATGGGAGGAGCTTCCCAGTGATACTGGGTTGCCCAGGGAGGTGGGTATGGAAGGCTGCTGTCTAGCCCTTTCTTTAGTATTTAGTATTTATTCACACAGGGGGTTGATTCCATAGACACCCAAGTTCATGGATGCCCAAGTCTTTATTTAAAACAGCCTGGTATTTGTTTGGATCCCACATACATACTCAGATGATCTCAGCATCACCTCTAGGTGACATACAACCTTACTAAAAGGAAGAGCAGTTGTTGTTCTTATTGTATCACGTGGGAAAAACAGCAAGGAAAAAACTCTACACATTCAGCAGATTCCACTTTGTTTTGAATATTTTTTGATCTGTAGTTCAGTTGAATCTATAGACAGTGAGCTTCCAAGTCTGGGCCCCAACTGTCCTGATGGAGGTTCAGAGTGAGAGAATCCAGAGGAGATTGGAGATGCTTGCAAGGACTGTTCTCACCCAAGTGGTCTAAAGTATACAGGTGCTATCCACACAGGTGAGAAGCATCATGGGAGGAGCAGCCTCCATCCCACAATGAATCTGCCAGTTCCCGCCCTTGCTTCTACCGTTCATGTCCCAATAAAGTCACCTACCCAGCTGCTCCTTTCCTCCTGGCTCCCCTCAAAAGTAT